CAATCCTAAATGCTGCCTAAAGGTGAACAAGAGAAAGAACACCTGCCACTGGATTTTGAGAATAACGTTGAGAATAAGGGTCACTGGTTGCTTTAGACAATGTCGTTTCAGTGGCCTGGTGCTGGGGAGCAAGTGGAAGAGTGTGATGAGAATCAGGAAGTGGTGTAAGGTATTTTTCCAAAAGAATATTGGATAGTACATAGAGGAAGCCTGTGGGGCTGAGGTGGGAGAGATTTGTGCTGGCAAAGAAAGAATGATTGAAAATTTAGGAGCCAGAAGGGATGATTGATGGAGTCCAGCTCCTAAGGCAGTGGAGGAGAAGGATTCCCAAGCAGAGGAGGTGAGGTTTACCTTGGACAGGAGGAAGGAAGCCTCTTTACCTGAAAAAGGCAGGGAGTACATCACTCACCGTCAGTGGTAATGATGTCGTATGTGTCGGGGAGTTGATTTTTTTCCTCGGAAGTAGGTAAACCCTATTGCTGAATGTGATGGGATGAGATAAGAGATTGGGGGAAAGAGGGAAACACCTGGCATACTGACAGAGTGTGAAGTCGAAAGGGGTTGATTAGAGGCAAGCTAAAGGATTTCTGGGCAGTACTGATCCCGTACCTCTGCTCCAAGGATGAAGACAGTGAAAGAGTAGGGTTCTCTTAGCATCTCCCTCATACAGACCTCTAACCTAGTACTTGTTTACTTGACTCCCTCTCTCTGGAAACTACAGGACACAGGGTAAGAGGGGAAACAGATAAAAAAGTTTGACAAACATTAGATGAAAGCCCTATAATGAAAACAAAGAGCAGAGACAATATAAACAGTGGTTAAGAATCTTCCCAGAACTGATGAAAGACACCAAAGCATAGATTGAAGAGGCCAAATAAATATCAATAACGACAAACCTAAAAAGATGATATCCACACTCAGTCACATCAAAGTAGAAGTGTTAGTGCTAATACCCAAAAGTCCAGGAGACGTACAGGAGTCCTGAAGAGACACCTGGCCCTGGAGAGAGGCCCGGGGAAGTTTTCCAGACCGTGTGATGGAAGGACTATAGGCTGAGTTGTAAATGATGAATAAATGTCAGCCAGGTGTGAGAGGGGAGCAGGGGTAGGAGATGAAATGCAGAGGAGAGGGAGTACTGGGCAGAAGCCAAACTGTCAGCAAAGCTGCAGGACAAGAAACGCATGTGTCAGAGACAAATAGGCAAGTTGCTGTTAGGAAAGTGTAAAGTGTGAGGCCAAACCAGAAATGTCGGCGACAAAGAGGTCTTAAAGGCCGAGACAGGGAAGGAGAGATCATTTTCAAAGGAGCAGCAGATGAGAGTCACAGCTGACTTTTCTTCTGTGATAATAGAAGCAAGATATAGTGGAACGCGGAATAGTTCAAGATGCCGAAAGAAAATGCCTGCCAATACAGCATTCCAAACTTGGCAAATCTACCTTTTTTTTTTTTTTTTTTTTGAGACAAAGTCTCACTCTGTGGCCCAGGCTGGAGTGCAGTGGCACAATCTCAGCTCACTGCAGCCTCCGCCTCCTGGGTTCAGGTGACTTTCCTGCCTCAGCCTCTTGAGTAGCTGGGATTACAGGTGGACACCACCAAAACTGGCTATTTTTGGTTTTTTGTATTTTCAGTAGACAGGGTTTCACCGTGTTGGCCTGGCTGGTCTAAAACTTCTGGCCTCAAGTGATCTGCCCACCTTGGCCTCCCAAAGTGCTGGGATTACAGACATGAGCCACCATGTCTGGCCAAAATATTTTTCGACTATGAAGGGAGAGAGAACGAGAGAGAAAGAGAGAGAAAGTGAGAGAGGAAACCAAGGATGTTTGCTACCAGAAAACCAATTCTAAAGGGGTTTCTAGAATATATTTCAGGAAAAAAGATTCTGGATGGAAGATCTAAGAATACTAACAGAGTGTAAGGAATAAAGAATAGAGACTATGGTAAATATGTATGTAAATCAAAATGAGCAGTGAATGTACAAAATAAAACCAAACATCACGATGATATCTTTGGGGGCTCAAAAATATAGAATTGGTATTTCATTAATAATAAAATGCCACTAATACTAAGATGCATAATTTATATATCACCTAAGGGGAAAAAAATGTTGCCAGTTAAACTATTAAGAACTAATATCGTCCTGAACAGCACATGAATCATCCCATGTCATGTTAATTTAAATTTTAAAAATGTCTTCTAAAGGATTAAGCAATTTCTTCTTATTTCATTTGCACTGACAGTTTATGGTAAATTACCCTTTTGCTTTTTATCTTACAACAAAAAGTAACATGGCTTCATCCACATGTGGGTATCTTTCTTTCCTAGGTTCTATAAAGCACCAGATTGTTGCTCTACAAAAAAATACCGAATATGGTCATTTCCCAAACAAATGTTACAGGCGTCCCAAGAATGAAAGGTATGCTTCCTCTTTTACTTCTGTGCCCTTCTGTATACACAATAACTTTGTCTCTGTACCAGCTAATAATGTAACACTTTTGCAAATGTTTGAAAAGGCAATAAATTAAACATGTATCAATGAACAAATAATTCAATTAAAGCGATAATATGAACAGCAATGACAGAGTTCATGCACCTGCAGGCAATGACAACTTTATCAGGACTGCCACCTGGGACTAACAGCAACTGTAAATCACCATCAATTGAAGACATACCTCTACTTCGGAGATGTTTGAATGTGAAATAACACGTATATTGGGATTGATAAAATGCCACAAAGAATGTTATGAAAATAGCATGTAAGTTGTGAGGAGGAGAGCTAGAGTTCAACTGTTCTAAGGTCTTTATATTATCTGGAGGAGGGTAAAGGTTTTATACTTTGAAATTCTCAAATATATACTTTGATAACTGAAGTACAGATGTTGTGATTTCTGGGTAACCAGTAAAATAATATTTAAAAAACGTATAATCGCATAATTTTCAACTAGTAGAAAGAAAAGAATGGATTGATAAAAATACCCAGCCAATCCAAATGAAGACAAGTAAAGGGAAAAAATAAACATATGGAACAAGCCGGGATGGTATATTGAAATGCCATCAGTGTTTAAATGCACTGGTAATTACATCAAGTAAAGTAATTTAAATCCGATTTTAAAATTACCAGACTAAAAAAAGTCAAAATCATATGCTGATTACGAAACACATATCTAAACTTTAAGATCACAGATTGAGAGTAGATGTAAAAGAAGGAGCTGGTGGAGCTATACTAATATCTGACAGGATAGGCTTTAATACAAAGGTGAAGAAGAAAAATGGTTTCTGACATAAGGAAGATACTTGTATGAACTTTTTTTTTTTTTTTTTTAAGACAGAGCCTGTCAGTCTGTTACCCAGGCTGGAGTGCAGGAGCATGATCTCGGCTCACTGCAGCCTCCGCTTCTTGGGTTCAAGCCATTCTCCTGCCTCAGTCTCCCAAATAGCTGGGATTATAGGCACATGCCACCATGCCCAGTTAATTTTTTATTTTTAGTACAGATGGGGTTTCACCTGGTTGGCCAGGCTGGTCTCAAACTCCTGACCTCAAGTGATCCACCTGCCTTGGCCTCCCAAAGGGCTGGTATGAGCCACCACGCTCGGCCTTGTATGCACATTTTAAAATAGACTTGAAGCTAATGACATGGCCTCAAGATTTATAAAGCAAAAACTGACAGAATTTCAAGAAGAAACAAACAAATCCACAATCATGGTGGGAGATTTAAAAACACCTATCTCTTATCATTAGAGCAGGCAGGCAATTAAGTCGGTACAAGTAGAGAAGATTTAAACAACACGATTAATGAATTTGATTTAAAGGGTATATACGTATATGTATGTGTTTGTGTACACACACAGACACACACACAGAGAAATATATACTGCATTCAAGAGGCACAGAATATACATTCTTTCCAAGTTCACATGGAATAGTTATAAAAACTAAACAAAAAATGTGTTACAAAGAAAATAAAGAATTGAAATCATGCATAGTATATTTTCTGACCTTATTCGGTTTAAGCTAAAAATTTTAAAAGGCAGTAATGTGCCTAAGAAACTCAAGGGTTAGGCTGGGGGCGGCGGCTCACGCCTGTAATCCCAGCACTTTGGGAGGCCAAGGCAGGCGGATCACCTGAGGTCGGGAGTTCGAGACCAGCCTGACCAACATGGAGAAACCCCGCCTCTACTAAAAATACAAAAAAATTAGCCGGGCATGCTGGCGCATGCCTGTCATCCCAGCTACTAGGTTGACTGAGGCAGGAGAATCTCTTGAACCTGGGAGGCGGAGGTTGTGGTGAGCCGAGATCATGCCATTGCACTCCAGCCTGGGCAACAAGAGCAAAACTCTTGTCTCAAAACCAAACCAAACCAAACAAAAAAACAAAAACAAAAAAATCTCATGCGTCAAAAAATCATAATGGAAATTAGAAATATTGTAACCAAATGATAATGAAATCTTTATATTAAAATTTGTGAGATGCAGCTAAAGTCACGCTCAGAGGGAAATTTATGGCCCTAAATACAAATACTGAAAAAGAAGAATAACCGAAAGTTAACGACGTAAGAATCCATTTTTAAAAGGCAGACAAGGCCGGGGGCGGTGGGCCACACCTGTAATCCCAACAGCACTTTGGGAGGCTGAGGTGGGTCGATCACTTGAGCCCAGGAGTTGGAAACTTGCCTGGGCAACATGGTGAAATCACATTTCTGCAAAAAAATACAAAAATTAGCCAGGCGTGGTGGCACACACCTGTAGTCCCAGCTACTGAGGAGGCTGAAGTGGGAGGATCATGAGCCCAGGGAAGTGGAGGCTACAGTGAGCTGTGATTGCTCCACTGCACTCCAGCCTGGGTGAGAGAGGGAGACCCTGTCTCAAAAAACAAACAAACAAACAAACAAAGTAGAAAAAGCAAAATAAACTGGAAGGAAGTATGAGGAAGGAAATGGAGAACATAAATAAAGGTAGTAGGCTTTGGGAAAGGCTGCTGATGAATTTGAACTTTGATACTCACAACAAGAGGACGAGGCAGAAGAAGAGCAATGAGAATGCAATGGCTCCATACACAATGCCCTGGATTAATCCTTTCACGAACATACTGGAAACTGATTTCTTATCTGGAATTGGAGGGAAGTGAGATGGACTTTTCTCCAAAGGCTTTGAAGTCGGAGCTAAAACTCTCTACCCTTTCCACTGGCCCTGTGCCCATCCACATCTGGTCCTTAGGCGTTCTTTCCAGCTCAGTCACTAGGTCCCTGGATACTCACTTGGTATCAGGAAGAAGCTGGAAGTGTGAATTCCATATTGGTTCTTCCCCTCACAGCGAAGTCTCATGACTATTTCTGGCTCCCCGATGAGGTTGATGGTGCTATTGGCCCAGGGGACACGTGTGGAAGAAGTCACCCGGGGGATGTTATCCATGCTGTTCACATCCACAGGGACACCTCCCATCCACCACTGCACGGAGGGTGTGGGGATCCCATGGAAGGAACAGCTGCACAGAACTGTCTTCTCCAAAGAACAAGAGGAATCGAACAACCTGGGAGGTGCTGTGCGGAGGAAGAATCGGGGATCATCAAGATGTCCTGATTTTGCTTCTCTACTTCCCCTAAGACCCGCCTTCTCTCTACTCGCTATTCACAGGGAGCTTCAGAAAGACTTTCTGGCAATCCAGAGTGGGGCTGGGACTCAAAACAGTCCCCTTTCATCCTCTCTCCACATCTGCCTCCGACTTGGGTTCAGCTCCTACCCCTGACCTTTCAGCCCCAAAGGTCAGGGGGAACATGTGACAGCTCCTAAGATTTCTTTCCCTCTGGGGCTCAGGTCTTTTCTTGAGCCCACTATTTCTCAGGATCCTGCCTGTGCCCACCAGCACTTACAGACCACTTGGAGCTTGACCAAGCTACTTCTGGTCACGTTGGCTAGGGAGAAGTTCAAGTGACATCCAAGGGTGTTGCCATGGTCCTCAGGCCTCAGGATGAAGTGCGGCACTGAGGAGGAGCTGCTGGAGATGGCTGGGTTCTTCCAGGAGCGAAAGAGGGCTTTGATTTCTTTGCAGGTGCCTTTGAGGGTACAGTTCAAGGTCACAGGTTTCTCAGCCAAAAGAATCTCTGGGATGTGGAGCTCTGGCTTTTGGGTTAGGTCTGGAGAAGAGAGAAGCAGACCCAAACCTTGGGGGAAAAGGGACCCTCATGGACACTTCACTGATGCACGGCGTTTCCAGGTTACAAAGTGCTCCCCGCCCATTAGCTCATTTGCAACCCCCTCACCTCCCCAACAGCCTTGTGAAACCTGGGATTGTTGGGGTTGAATGGTTTTCCACAAATAGATTTCCTTTCTCTGTGTGGAAGGGGAACAGCCCAGCGTCCAGGTGATCAAACTGAAGAGAACTACTCAAGGTGGTAGAGCTTGAACCTGAACTCTGGTCTTCAAAGACTGAGGGTGAGTTTTCTGACGATCTACATTGTAGAATGAGGATTCTACATTCTGGCCCCTTACCTGAGCCCCAGACTAGATGTGCTAGTGGTAACTCCTCCTCTGCCTCCCTTTTCCAGCCCAATTCTACCCCTAGACTCTGCCCCTTCCCAGCCCAGTCTGTGATCATTTCCTCTCTGTTTTGTATTGGTTGGATGACATAGGGTGAGTCGCTTCTCTTTTTGCCATTTCTATTTGGAAAAGTAAAGTTACCTATTATACCGATCTCATTGCATCACTGGAAAACTCAAACACCTGAGGTTTTGTAAAGCCTAGTGCCCATCAAGTAAAAACCACATAATCACCAGAACCACGGTTGGATTTCCTTCTTTCCAAACCACTTATTGGATGATATTGAACATCACCTGACACAAAGAGTTTGATATTCTCCCCCAGGAAAGCACTTTTTTGTTCTCCTAGATCTGCATAGAATAAATACGTCGCACTGTTCCCTTTGAGAATATCATGGATGAGTAGGGTACAGTCTTCTTCATCAAGATTCCCAGTCATGGAAAATCTGTCCTTGGTGTTATCACCAACGGTAGCATTGGGTTTATTTGTAGCTACAAGGGAGCTGACGTTTTTGTTGAGCCAGTAGCCCATGATCATGGAATTGCTTGGGAGTTCTTTGGGAAATTCAAATGCACAAGGGATTGTCGTGCACAGCCCCTCTTCCACTGGTATCTTCTTGATTTCCATCAAAACCTGAGAAAGTAACCCTGTAAGGAGAGATCCAAGTTGAAAAACAGACCCACCTACCATACTCCTGTATTATATCTGTGCATTAAAAGAGTCACCTTACCTAAGAAAGGCTTGACACTTGTCCAGCTGCTACGAGGTGATCTCTAAACCCTTGGGATATCCTGCCTGATAGGAGTGTCTTTGTTTACCTGAGACCTTGGACTTCATCAGTTGATGCTAACACTCTGATTTATGGTGGGACCCCTGGATCCTGGGGCATCAGCTTGACCTCTGGAGGGGCTGAAGACTAAGCTAAGTCAGTGACCAGACCCACAATAAAAACCCTGGACACCAAGGCTTGGGTGCACTTCTCTTCTTGGCATGTCTGTGCATGTCACCACACATTGTTGCTGAAAGAAGTAAGCTCTGTTGGTGCAACACTACTGGGAGAGGCCAGCTGAAAGCGCATGCCTGCTCTCTCCTGAATCCTGCCCTAGGCACCTCTTCCCTGTACTGATTTTCATCTGTATTCTTTTGCTATAATCAACTGCAATCATGAGTAAAACAGTTCTGCTGAGTTTTGGGTCCTTCTTGTGGATCACTGAATCAGAGGCGTCTTGGGGACTCCTAAATTGCATCATCCCAATCTAGTCTGCTGGATTTTTTATTGCTCTTCTTGTTGGTATTAATTGTATCTTGTGATCTTGGCCATGTTGCATCATTTCTGAATCTCAGTTTCTCAGTCAGGGAAATGGGTACAATAATACCAACACTACAATATTGTGATAATTAAGGACAATACCTACAGAGGCACGTGGCCCTCTGCAATAACTGCAGATTGTGACTTCAGTCACATTCCACTACAGGGGACCATGTCACAGTGAATAGTTAGTGAATAATTGTGCTCGCCATCCATTAGCTCATTTGGAACCCCCTCCCCTCCCCGATAGCCCTGTGAAACCTAGGACTCTTGTGGTTGAATGGTTTCCACAAATAAACTTCCTTTCACTGTATAGACGGGGAACACTCCATTGTCCAGGTGAGTAAACTGAAGAGAATTACTCAAGGTGGTAGAGCTTGAACCTGAACTCTGGTCTTCAAAGATCAGGGTTTCTTGAGGGTCTATATTGTAGAATAAAGATTCTACATTTTTTTTTTTTTTTAGACAGAGTCTTGCTGTCACCCAGGGTGAAGTGCAGTGGCACGATCTTGGCTCACTGCAACACCCGCTCCTGGGTTCAAGCAATTCTCCCAACTCAGCCTCCCCAGTAGCTGGGATTACAGGTGTCCACTACCACACCTGGCTAATTGTTCTACTTTTAGTAGAGACAGGGTTTCACCATGTTGGCCAGGTTGGTCTCCAACTCCTGACCTCAGGTGATCTGCCCAACTTGGCCTCCCGAATTGCTGGGATTAGAGGCATGAGCCACTGTGCTTGGCCAAGTACCTAATTTTTTATGTTCTCACCTCTTCATCTGACTTCAGCCCTGTCTGCCTTCCACCCCTACCCACCCTCACCTCCCCAAGATACCTCCACACTGCCTCTCCTTCTACTTACCCAACCATAGCAGCGGCAGTGCCATCAGCCCCAGCGAGACCTCATGGGCAAGAGAGGACCAGGATGTATCCTGCTGCTAACTCTGACCTCAGATTGGTCTGTCCTGGAGGGCAGGATTTGGATTGGATGAGGAGAGAGGCAGCAGCAAGAGGCATGGGGTGCAGCTAGGAAGAAGTCCACGGCTTGCTAGGGGCTCTAGTCTTTTCAATCCACCCCTAAGGTCTGTTAATCTGGTGAATTAGGGGCCTGATGGGACCTGATGCTGGGTAGCTTCAAGAACAGAGGTTGGGCTGGGCACAGTGGCTCACGCCTGTAATCCCAGCATTTTGAGAGGCTGAGGTGGGAGGACTACTTGAGCCCAGGAGTTTGAGACCAGCCCGGGCAATGTAGGGAGACCCTCTCCCTATAAAAAAAAATTTTTAAAAAAATTAGTCGGGTGTAATGGTACATGCCTGTAGTTCCAGCTACTCAGGAAGCTGAGGTGGGAGGATCTCTTGTGCCTGGGAGGTTGACGCTGTTAGTGAGCTGTGGTCACAACACTGTACTCCAGCCTGGACAACACAGTGAGACCCTGCCTCAAAAACAAAAGAACAGGGGTTGTCCCCAAACTCTTTGTGATGCCTCAACACCATGTTTGCTTTCCTCTCTCCAGTCTGCATTCCCACTCCACTTCCTCTTCAAAGAGTCTCAAATGCCAGGCTGAGGAGCTCGGACTCCCTCCCATGTCAATGGGGGAGCTCAGGGAAATTATGGAACGGTTTTGAACTATGGGAGAACGGGTTTGGGTGTTCTAAAGATCCCTCTGGGTCTGCACTGAGGAGGAAACAACAGTCCAGGAGAAAGACGATGAAATCTGAGCTGGAACGGTAGCTATGGGGGACAGAGAGAAGGTGATATATTTAAGAGAGATATTCAAGAAATAAACAACATTTCAGGGACAGACGGAGTACATTCCAAACTCCCTTGCCTTTCATTCGAGCCCTCCCTGATTTTGCCCCGCTTTTCCCTTACCTCGATATTCCCCATGCCTGCACCCTGTCATTCTTTCCATACCAAAAAAAAAAGATTTTTTTTTTTTTCCTTTTTTGAGACAGTCTTGCTCTGTCACCCAGGCTGGAGTGCAATGGCGCGATCTCAGCTCACTGCAATCTCTGCCTCCCAGGTTCAAGCGATTCTCCCACCTCAGCCTCCCAAGTAGCTGGGACTAAAGGTGCCTGCCAGCACGCACAGCTAATTTTTGTATTTTTGGTAGAGACGGGGTTTCGCCATGGTGGCCAGGCTGGTCTCGAACTCCTGACCTCGGGTGATCTGCCCGCCTTGGCCTCCCAAAGTGCCAGGATTACAGGCGGGAGCCACTGCACCGGCTGAAATAGGGATCCTTTCCACAGATGCTCCACACATCCTTCCTCTGCCTGTTTCCTCAGGCCACTCCCCGTGTCATGGCGTCCTTCTGCAGCCCTGTCCTCTGCCCACATTCAAACCCTCTCTCTCTCTCCAAGTCCAGGTCAAACGTAACCTCCTCCTGGAAGTTCTCTCCTGGATCTCACAACCAGAAAGAAGCCTCCTCTCTCCGACTCTCTTCAGCAGCCCTAGCTATCCATCTCCTCTAGGGCAATGTCTCAGGTAAACCCTGAGAGTTGCCTACCTGATATCCAACCTCTGTTTCCTCCTTATTATTTCAAATTTGTTCAGGTGACCAAGCCACCAATTTGAAAAATAATGTCTCTGTTTTCTTGCCTCATCTGGGGTGGCCACATGGCAGAGTTCTGGCCAGTGAGCCAAGGAGAAGAAACATGTTATCAAATTATTATCAGTGAATAAAAGCCTACTCAGCTTTTCTCCCCCCCTCCCCCCTGCTTTTTTTTTTGAGTTCTGGCCAATGAGTCAAGGAGAAGAAAAATGTTATCAAATTATTATCAGTGAATAAAAGCCTACTCAGCTTTTCTCACCCCCCGCCCTTTTTTTTTTTTTTCATGTAATACTAGCTAATAAAATTCCAAGACTTGGTTTTAAAAACATAAGTTTTCATAATAAAGTACATGACTCTCAGAAAGAGTTGAAGGACATGTTTCCTGCCCCTGCAGCACTGAATCAAAAGATACTGTTCTGTGTTATAAAATGGTTCAAGGAATTTGATTTGATGTTGTGCAAAACTGAGACTGTTTATAAGAATGTCATTTATGTTCTCCTCTGCAATATACAGTTTTGTATGAATATTCATGACGGTTGCTGACTTGTTCTAGTCTTTGCTAATATGAATCTGCCCTTGGAAGAACAATTTAAACAAAATGGTCTTATGAGACTCCAAAGATGTTAGAAATTATTCCATGTCTCATGAAAATGATCCCCACATAAAATGGAATTCTGACGGGTTGTCTTACCTGATGATTTCTTGCTCTGGTAATAATAACATTGTAATTGACATCTGTTTTCCTAAACTGTATACCAATCTGTAGAACTGTACTCTTCTCTCTCATGAACAATGCAGGAAAAATAAAAACCTGGCCAGGCACAGTGGCTCATGCCTGTAATCCCGGCACCTTGGGAGGCCAAGGCAGGTGGATCACGTGAGGTCAGGAGTTTGAGATCAGCCTGGCCAACATGGTAAAACCCTGTCTCTACTAAAAACACACACACACACACACAAATATATATATGCACACATATATACACACACACACACACAAATATATATATACACATATATATATACACACACACATATATATATACACACACACATATATATAAATATATAGCTGGGCATGGTGGCAGGTGTCTGTAATCCCAGCTACTGGGGAGGCTGAGGCAGGAGAATCGCTTGAACCCGGGAGGCGGAGGTTGCAGTGAGCCGAGATTGCACCACTGCACTCCAGCCTGGGCAACGAGAGCGAAACTCCGTCTCAAAAATAAATAAATAAATAAATAATAAAAACCTTTAACTCTGCTAGATTTGTTACTGAGCACGCATTTTGAGAGACTTGTCTACTTAAACTACCAAACTTAAGAGGCTATCTGCTGGGGAGTTTTGGGAGTTCTTCTTTTCTGACACCGGCACCACCATTTCCTCCTCCTCACCTTCCCCTTCTTCCTTCCTGGAAGATGAATGTGATGCTGGAGATGGTGCAGCCACCTGGCAACTATGAGACAACGGTGAGGATGAAAGCTGGAGATCTGAGGATGTCGCTGACAACGACATGGAGAGCCTGGTTTTCGGAAGACCCTGTGGAGCTGTTGCAACAACCCCACACAGCCCGCCGCCGTATCTCTTCTCCATTTGATTGTCGTGCTAGTTGGAAAACTGACAAAATGCCTTACCAGGGAATCCAGCCAAAAGTGAACTTCTAGGCCAGGCGCGGTCGCCTATGCCTAGAATCCCAGCATTTTGGGAGGCCGAGGAGGGCAGATTGCTGGAGCCTAGAAGTTTAAGGCCAGCCTGGGCAGCATGGAGAAACCCCATCTCTACTAAAAATACAAAACTTAGCCAGGTGTGATGGCACGTGCCTGTAGTCCCAGCTACTGGGGGGGCTAAGGTGGAAGAACCGCTTGAACTCAGCAGTGAGCCGAGATCGTGCCACTGCACTCCAGCCTGGGTGACAGAGCAAGACTCCGTCCCCACCACAAAAAAAGTAAAGGTCCCATGCTTGCAGGAACCAGATGAAGGGGGCCTGTCTGTGAAGAGATAGGAGACTCCTTGGGGACTCTTAGAAAACTTTTAGAGGAAGATGACAAGGGGACTATGCAGGGGGCTCTGCAGCTGAGGAAGGACAGTAGAATTTCCATGACTCCATTGTTCCAGTGATATTTCCACCATTGCCCCTTCACATTTCCATATCCACATGACATCCTTTTAAATTATAAATCAATCATGTCAGTTCCCTGTTCGTTACCATCTGCTGGCTTCACTTTACTGTCAAAATAAACTCTAAAATTTGACAGATTATTAGCAGACTGCTAGAAATACTACCTAACCCTACCTCCCCTCTGTTTCTCTCTCTCTCCTTGGTCAGCTTCTGCCACTTCACAGTACGCAGGGAAGTAACTCTGTATCTATTCTGACCAGGATGTGAGTTCCTTGAGAAAGTTAGCCATATCCAAATAACTTTTGCGTGTCATGTTGGAATCACCTTTGTGTACCACTCCTGGGTGGCCTTTGTGTGTCATGCCCAAGGTACCTTTGTGTGACATAATGGAGTCTACCTTTCAAAGTCAAGTCAGAGTCACTTTTGTGTCTCTAGTACCCAACACACAATCTGGAACACAGCTGGTGCATAATAAATCTTTATCAAATGAAAGATTTGGAACCAAGAAATTTGGGGTTTTGGCCAGGCGTGGAGGCTCACACCTGTAATCCCAGCACTTTGGGAGGGCAAGGCGGGCAGATCACTTGAGGCCAGGAGTTCGAGACCAGCCTAGCCAACATGGCAAAACCCCTTCTCTACTTAAAATGCAAAAACTAGCCAGGTGTGGTGGCATGTGCCTGTAGTCCCAACTACTCGGGAGGCTGAGGTATGAGAATCACTTGAACCCCGGAGGCAGTGGCTGCAGTAAGCAGAGATCGTGCCACTGCACTCCAGCCTGGGAGGAGGGGGAAGGGGAGGGAGAGAGAGAGAGACAGAAAGAGAAAGAGAGAGAGATATAAATAAATAAATCTGAGTTCTAACTGTGGCTCTGCAGATACCTTAATATAAATAAATAAATAAATAAATAAATAAATAAATAAATACTGAACAGTCATGGTGGCCCATGTACTGTGCACTGGAGATTCACATGCTTCACATATTTTATTATTCTTAATCTCACAACAGCACTGTGATGTAGTTCTCAATGCATCACTTCACAGATAAAGAAACTGAGGCCCAGAACAGCATAGGAACTGGTCAGGTTCACAGGGCCAAGAAATTGACATCCTGAAGTCATCATGTAGGTCCCTGGACTCCAAACCCAGTGTCCTTTCTGGTATGCCAGACTGCCTTCAGAACTGCTGTGTCATCATGGTTCAAGCCTCTTCTCCTGAGTCCCATGCCTCATGTATAAAATATGATAAATCAACCTGTCCTGTCTACCTCACAAGGTTCGAGAGAGACAGTGGGAAAAGCATGTAGTTATGCACAATGTGAGTTACAAATGTCTTCCCCCTGGACTTGTGTGGTAGGCAAAATTCTAAAGATGTCTCCCATTCCTGTGATTCCTGTGCCCTGGTTATTCAATTAAACATTAATCTACGTGCTTCAGTGAAGGGACTTTGCTGATGGAGTGAAGGTGACTAATCTGCTGATCTTAAATTGAGGAGATCATCCTGGACTATCTGAGTGAATGTAATGTAATCACATGAAACTTTCAAAGCAGAAAAGTCAGAGAGATTCAGGAGGAAGAAAGGGAACAGACGAGCCAGAAGTGGAGGTCAGAGAGATGTGAAGCATAAGAAGGATTTGACTCACCATTGTTTGCTTTGAAGATGAAGGAACGAACCCACGAGCCCATGAGGGCAGCTCCTAGAAGCTGACAATGACCCCAGCAGACAGCGAGCAAGGGAATGCAGACCTCACTACTACAAAGCGTGGAACTGATTCTGAATGTGATTGGAAATGGTTCATCCAAAGGGACTCGAGAAAGCAACATACCCCTGCTGACACTGTGATTCAGGCCTTGTAAAAGCTGGAGCAGAAAACCAGGGGAACCACACTATGCTGGAACTTTTGACCTTCTGTGAGATCACACATGAGTGTTACTTCAAAAGCTGCTAAAGTTGGGCTGGGCCCAGTGGCTCATGCCTGTAATCCCAGCACTTTGGGAGGCCAAGGCAGGTGGATCACACAAGGCAGGAGTTCCAGGCCAGTCTGGGCAACATGGCAAAACTCTGTCTCTACTAAAAATATTTTTTAAAAATTAGTCAGGCGTGGTGGTACTCGGGAGGCTGAGGAATGAGAACAGCTTGAACCCAGGAGACAGAGGTTGCAGTGAGCTGAGATTGTACCACTGCACTCCAGTCTGAGTGACAGAGCGAGACTTGGTCTCAAAACAAACAACAAAAAAGCTGCTAAAGTTGTGGTAATTCTTATGAAAGCAACAGGAAACCCATACAACTTGTATTGAAGCCAGTTCAAAGGAAGGGTCCTAGATTCTTCAGTGAGTGGACGGCCAGCAGTCCAAAGGCTTGGTCTTTGCCTTCCGTTTTCTAGGTATTTCTGGGCCAGGCCCTTCCCTCACTAGGGAATTGCTTCCTCCTTTCAAAGATAGTCTAGAGTTTGCAAATTAGTGGCTTTGTGAGGCAGTTAAAATGCAAGGGGTTTTATTTAGCCTGCATTAAGAAACCTGCATACAGACTTTAATTAGTTGCAATGTTTAAAAATCAGGATCCTCACATAAAAGTCTGAACTCCCAGCTACTTTTTAATAAATTAGATCTGACAACACATGGCAGATATTAACTTTCCCCTTTAACACTGAACAATTGTTCTCCAGTCCATTCCTGGCCGTGCTCTCCCTGCTACACTCACCTGGGAAGTGCATATAACACAGTGGTTAAGTGTGTGTGAGTCAGCCTTCCTGAGTTTAATTTGGCCTCCACCACTTGCCAGCCGTGTGACTGTGGGCAAATTACTTCCCCTCTCCAGGTTTCCCTAGTTTCCTCACTTATAACATGTAGATTTTAACAGGATTCATCTGGCAGAATTGTTGGATTAAATGATTAAATGAATTAATGTATGTAAAACCCTCAGAACACAGCCCAGCACAAAATAAGTGCTAAGCAAGTGTTTATCATTCACATCACCTGCCTGGTTCCCTTAGCATTTAAATTGTGACCGCTCTTGACTCATCTCTCTGCTCAGTGATGTTTTGATTCAAGAATCAGCCCTCTGCTTTTCCATTCTGATTTCGCTTCTCTTAAAAAACGACTCCCTCCTTACATCAAGATGCTACTCAGGCTTCCAGATAACAAATCCTATCTCTCCATCATAAGCCACTTTTCCTTTTTTTCCCCACTGTCAAAATCCTTCCTCCTCCTGCTTTAATTTACAACCTCAAATCAAAGGTTGGGAAGAGCTGTGGACTGGTTCCAGTTGGGGCTTTGCCAGTAACTCGTTGGATAGCTCTGGGCAAGTTCTGTTCCCTTTCTGCTTCCCCTTTTTTTCCTCCTCGGTAAAACGGGAGGGTTACTGCAAACTAGGTAAGGGTCCTTCAGACTCAAAAACTCTGATCTCTTACATCTGTAATCCCAGCACTTTGGGAGGCTGAGGTGGGAAGATCGCTTGAGCTCAGAAGTTTGAGACCAGTCTGGGCAACATAGCGACATCCTGTCTCTACAAAACAATTTTAAAAAAAGCAGCCCGGCATTGTGGGTGCAGCTACTCCAGAGGCTGAGGTGGGAGGATTGCTTGAGCCTGGGAGGTCGAGGCTGCAGTGAGCTGAGATTGTGCCACTGCACTCTAGCCTGAGTGACAGAGCAAGACACTGTCTCAAAATAAATAGATGAATAAAATAATGAAATAAAAATAAAATTCTGATCTCTTTCCAGTCTCATTTCCTTCTCCAGGCCCTGGTGTATGCATGAGTTGTCTTCACAGGCGATCTCTTTTCCCTCCCCCTAAATTATTGTTTCTTTTTCCATATTTACCTCCTAGTCTCAGGTTCCAAAGAGCTCCAGCCTGGTCTTAACCTCAGCACTGTCTCCTTAAAAACCGAATGTCCTCCTGAATTTTTGCATCAAGCGGGTTTGTCTGACTTCCTATTACTGTTTTCAATGACTCCAGATGCGCCCGATGAACTGACTGACACGTGGAATAACCGTGTACACAAACACGGAGTGCCTCACGGGGAAGTGACTAAGGTGGAGGAAAGCTAACGGATTCGCTGAACTGGAAGTTCCCCGAGGCCTTGCCAACCTCCTTGCACGGGGATACCGACTCCGTGAAGTCCCGCCCCGCAAGCACACGCGAGTTTGTCCAGAGCCAATCAGGGCCTGACGCTTCTCGCGGGAGCTGCTGGGACGCGCAGCCGCATAGGAGAGCGCGCGGGTCTCCAGAGCCTGAGCTAGTCAGAAGCAACCGTCGCTACTGGGTAAGCCCGCCGTTGGGAGAATCGGTTTCCTTGGGCAGGTGGTTCCAGACCCCCACCAGTCCTCTAGACTCCAAGCCAATCAGTTGCTAAGGAACATTCCTCTCTCAACCTAATACGTGCGGGAAGTCAAGGCACTGGCTAAGGAACAAAATGCCCAGTGCTGGACCCCCGGGGCTGGTCAGAAGTCACCCTGTGTACTCCTTGTTTCCTGTCCTGCACCCGAGGCCCCTACCACCAAGAAAACAAGACACACGATGAAGCGTAGCCTCTCTATTCCCATTCCCAAACCCATCTCTGACCTATCTCCAACCCGATCCCCATCCTCTCTCCCATTCCTCTTCTACATTTTATTCTCTTCTTTCCCAGCACTGGCACTCTCCCTCTCCCCAGCCTTATCTGCCTCTCCCTCCCAAGGAGAGGATGTATCTTTAGTAGAAGCAAACACCAAACCTGTTATATAGAGGCTTCTATCCTCAACTCAAAACCTCTGCTGCACAGGATTCTCATACACCTCCACTGAATGTGATTCTCATACAATCTGCACTTTCCAGAATTACAAAGCATAAGAGGAAATAACCCTCCACAAGTGAGGACAAAACCTAGACTTCTTACTAGAGCCCTTGAAGCCCTGAAAGTTCTGGCCCTTCAGGAGCTCATCCCTCAGTCAATTCCAGTCACAGCAGCCTGCTCTGGGCTCCTGAACTCACCAAACTGCTCTCATGTCAGGGCCTAGGCTCTACTGCTCCCTCTGTCTAGCCAGCTCCTGAGAATCCTACAGGTCTCAAGACAAGTGTCACTTTCTCTGAGAGGCCTTCTCTGACTCTGTAATCCAACCTAGCTTCCTTTCCTGTGCTTTCTCATAGTATTCTATCCTTTTTTCTTTCTAGCACTTATCAACATTTTAAGCTATACACTTGTCTGCTTTTCTTCATTGTCTATCTGTGTAGACCATGACTCCATGGAGGCAGGGTCAGTGTCTTACTTCTTCCCCTCATTATCTGGCACATCTGATATTTCTGTGAAATGTGAACTGTCTGTGAGAGGTGCTTATACACGTGGGGGCTAACAGAAATGTCCACCCTGAGTATAAGATGACCATCTAGTTGGTGCTACAGGGTCACTGTATTTACTCACAAATATTGCCCCAGGGGAGAGATGACCCTCTTTCGACCCACTGAACACTACTAGCATCTGGCCAGGCACGGTGGCTCACACCTGTAATCCTAGCACTTTGGGCAGCCGGGGTGGGTGGATCACCTGAGGTCAGGAGTTCAAGACCAGCCTGGCCTACATGGTGAAACCCCGTCTCTACTAAAACTATAAAAAATTAGCTGGGCATGGTGGTGCATGCCTGTAATCCCAGCTACTCGGGAGGCTGAGGCAGGAGAATCACTTGAACCCTGGAGGCGGAGGTTGCAGTGAGCCGAGATTGCACCATTGCACTCCAGCTTGGGAAACAAGAGCGAAACTCTGTCTGAAAAAAAGAAAAAAAAAATCTACTAGAAGGGAGGTTATCATCCATTCTGAGAGGAACAATACACAGCTGTCGTTCATCCTAATGCCAGAATCCCTTTCTCATTCCTTGCATGCCTGCCTTTCATTCTGGCCAAGAACTATTGCAGTAACCTCCTAACTAGCATCTTTACCTCCAGCCTTACCCGTTCTAAATATATCATATATGGGGTCAGGGTAGGGGAATGATGTTTTTGTATATATCTGGTCACTCTACTTGCTTGCTACGAACCTTACAACAGCTTATAATTAATTAAATCATTTGACAAACATTCTTGAGATCTTATTGTATTTTAGGCATCATTCTGGGTGCTGGTGATAAAAGTAGAAAACAAGGCAGAAAAAGTCCCTGTTCTCTTGGAACTTACATTCTAAGGGAGTCAGGATAAGGTCCTACAAGATAAAGCTCCAATGAATCTTGGCCTTCAGGGCCCATTGTCATGTTTTTTCTCATCTGCATCTCTGAACAGTACTTTTCACCCGCTCTCCACCCAGGTATGGGTCATGTGATGTTTAAAGGTTGGGGAATGAAAGATTTTGTCCAAAGATACACAGCTACCAAGCACTGAAGTTGGGATTCCATCCAGATATGAAGGCTTGAAAGCCTGGTGCTCTTGTAGGTGTATCTCAGGTACTGGCACACAGTAGGCGCTCAAAAGCAACTTGCTGATGGACTTGATTCACATTGTCACATATATCTTTCCTTCTTTTGACACCTTCCCAGGGTGGCACAGATTTCTTCTGGTTTAGTCAAACAACCAATTGCAAAGTTTGTCTTCAGAGGCTCTAAGACTAGGTCTGAGAGTAAACCCCTATTCAATGGAGAATGAGTGTAAGGGATGTGTGGGAACTGAGAGGGTTTTGTGAGCTCAGGAGAGTCCAGGGGCTCCAGGTTTATTACAGCCTCCAGGGTTTCTGTGGGCTCTATAAATTTTGCAGACTTTTCTAATTCCAGGGATAATGGTGACTCCAGGTATGATGCACATTCCACAGGCTTAGCTGGCTCGTTTATCTTGCTTTTCCTGAAAGCGAGGTGCAAAATAGCACAAAGAAAGAAGAATGTTGGAACAGGTCTAGAGTTGAGGTATCCAAATCTTAAAATGACACCTCTTTGTGCACAGAATTAAAGCAACATGGAGTGAGCACTGGCTTAGCCCTTCCTCACAACCCCATGGTTCGAGCCTGCAACTCGGTCTTCTCCCTCTGGCCCCTCTCTGCACATCCTCAGTGCCAATAACACTGACTGTTCCTCAGACTCTTCAGGGAATCTTGCTTGACTTCCTCAGGTAGGTTTGGTCCCTCCCTCTTCTGCACCACCGCAACTCCCTGGCTCAGCATCCCCTACTGTGAAGGTGCCTTCTCTACCAGTCTAGCTGCTCTTGGAGGACAAGGCCTAGGTTTGGCCCATTTCTGAGACCCCAGTATTGCCCAGCACAAAGATTGGGGGATATTGCAGGAAATACTGGTGGAATTAACAGATGGTTTATCCACTAAAGGACACTAACTATTCATGCAGGGTGTCAGGAGGGCAGCAGGGCAATTCTGATTCTGGAGAATCATAAACGGTAAATAACAGTGAGGCCCAGCAACTTCAGACACTGTATCTTCCAAGCCCTGCTGAGGATGTGGGGTACAGGGTGAATGAAGGAGTAACCTGGGCTTGGCCTAATCTCTAACCACTTCAGGCTGACTTGGCCTGTGGCATCTACACCAAGCTGACTGCTGCCAGCCATACACTCAGAGACCAAATCCTTTGGTTTCCACTCTGATGCTACAACTGCTATTAGGATTTTCCACAACTGCCTTTTCAGTGGGGATTCAGTGTGCTGGTGTGTGTGTGTGTAAATTGATTTTAATTGTTCTTTAAATTGTTTCTCTTAACTTTCATCCTTCTCCTCTCTGGGCCTTAGCTTCCTATTTATGAAATGACCTGAAAGCACACTCTAGTGGTACGTATCCTGCAAGACTGAAGATGGTAACACCTTCAAAACACTGTGTGCTCCCTTCCCTATGGGTCTTATCAGTATTCCGATAGACCAGATTCCAGACACAATAGGTACATACCAATATGTGGCTCTCAGAAAATGTGGTGACTATGGGTTTTCCTGGTTCCTCAGGCTTCAGAGACATCGCGAGTTCTTGGCTTGCTCTGACTTTCGAGCTGTTTTTTGCTCTGATTGCTGCAGCTTTCTTCGCCTGCTTCTTTCTGATATGTTTTACTCTAAGGAAATAAGCTTTGGATTGGTTCTGGCTCTCCATCTCCCTGAATCCCGACACGGGCTCTACCTTGACCAGAACTTCTGATTTAAAGCCTCAACAACAGTACCAGCTTGCTGTATGACCTAGGGCAAGCCACACATCCTCTCTGGGAATTAGTTTCACACCCTGAATAATGGGGATACCCTGCTTATTAGGCTGTGGGGCTCAGATGAGGTCAGCTATGAAAGAGCCTTGCAACTGGCAGAGAGATTGTTACTGGTCTTCAAGTCCAGTTGATTATACTTTGAAAATAGCTCCTCAGTTTGCCCTGCCACCTCACTCCTCATCTTTGTCTCCCCATAGCCAGCCATGCCCAAGTCCCACCTCTCTGGCTGCCCCTCATCACGTGCCCCAGGTCAGGCCTTCTATTTCCTGCTTAGTCTGCTGTACCAGCTTCCTGCCTGGCCTTTGACCTTCTGTCTCTCACTCTCTCTAATCTGTGTCCCACCCCAAGCTCAAGCTTTCCTTCACAGCTTAGCACTCTTCCTAACAGTGCTCCGAACTGAGGATTCAGTCCAAGCTGTCTGGACAGGCTCCCCTGCCTGACTCTCTGACCTGACTTCCTGCAACTCAGCCCTTCCCACTCTATGCTTCTAGCTAATACATGCAGCTAAGTTTTAACACCCTGTAAACCAACACCAAGGACGTCTTTCAACCTCATTTTTAGCCATTACCTGGCACTCTCAATGCACCTGACATTACACAAAGACACTGGAAATGCCTCAAACATGCCTCTGGGCATCTGCATACAAAGATTAGGTATCCCTTATCTGAAATGCTTGGGACCAGAAGTGTTTCAGATTTCAATTTTTTTTTTCTTTTAGATTTTGGAATATTTGTTTATACATAATGACATATCTTGGGGATAGGAGCCAAGTATAAAAACAAAAGTCAGTTATGTTTCATATACACCTTATACACATGGCCTGAAGGTAATTTTATATAATACTTAAAATTATTTTGTGCATGAAATAAAGTTTGTGTACACTGAACTATCACATGAGGTCAGGGGTGGAATTTTCTACTTGCGGCATTATGTTGGTGCCTCGAGAACTTTTGGATTTTGGAGCATT